TGGCTTAGACATCCTGTAATGGCTACCTTGCTGGAGTCTCAGGTTCAAATCACGGGAGCACCAAGAACTTTTTGCCAAGAATTTTTTTTACTTTTTCATTTTTATTTTATTTTTAGTGCATAGTTGATGTGATTCAATGTGTTAAAACAAATTAAAAATTGTTTTTAACAAGCTACAAATTATTTTCAAATAAGCTAATGACTCGGATCCTATTTACTTGTATTGATATGTATTGATGTGTATTGATGTGTATTGGCCCAAATACCTATAGATATAAATATGTATCAATATACAATTTTTGTATTGATATATATTGATCTCTTCCACTAGGGACATGACCATATAAACGAGGAGGCCCCTAACCGTCGATTTCGACGGGTTTCACCTAGTAGTTATAAATAATCCTTTTCAAAGCAAAAAATTTAAAAAATATGTACCAGTAACAAGAACAAGTTTTGCTGAAGGGAAGTAGCTATAACTTTAGTCTTCACAGGTTCAGGGCCGCTATACTTTTAAAAATTACGAGGTAGTCGTTAAAAGCCGAAATACTTGACCTTTAATTGCTTTTGGGTCTACATATTATGTGTGTCTATACGCACAAGAACTCTTGAAAAACCTTAGGGATATTAAAAAATTTGTTTCAAATGCAAAACAATATTAACACCTGCAAATTTGGCTTGAAAACCAAGCAATTGTATATAGCCCAGGCAAATTAGACTTGTAGCTCCTAAAAATTGGGGGAAAGCTGGATATAGTTTAAATTTTCTCTGGAGATCCTAAATAAGTTAAAAATGAGTTTGCAACGAATTCTGAAGTGAGCTAAGTGTATGGGAAACAAAAAACTAGACCGAATTTGCTCAATTTTTAGTTTTTCGCTTATAACTCAAAAACAGTGCATCCCACAAAAAATGGTTTGCTTATTATTCTAAAGAACATCAAATTCCACATCGAATGACGTTAAAATCATTAAAATCGGTTCAGTAATTCTGCTATAACATAACATACTTTTTGTCAACATATTCTTGATGATTACAGCGTGTTCCGCCAGATGGCTTTGCATGCTATAATTTTCAGTTAAAATTACTGAACTTTTACAAACTGTTGTACTTAAAAAAAATATATTATATTCAGAGTGCTCAGCTGTACTTTATTTATTTACTACTATAATTTAATATATGTATATATGAATTTGAACGGATGGTGTTTTTGGCCTCTGGCGACATCAAAACGAAAAAAGTAAATCGGTCCCGGGTCTAGGTCTTACCATGAGACCTACGGTAATAGCTTATTCCCTATATGAGAAATTCGCTAAAAACTTGTTCAAAACTTATGACACCTAGCCTGACCATACTACTGGACTGAATTAGACATGGTTGGTACCAAATGAAATATATTTACCTGTAGATGTGCAGAATGCCTTTATAAATTAAAATAGCCTCAAAAAATAGGCACGAAAAATGAATTTTAAATTTTGAAACAATTAACATGGGTCTTATGGGTTGCCATGCTGGTGACAAAATAACAACAAAATATAAACAGAAAATCTAAACAAATTCCAACCAAATGTTTTATTTACAGTGTGGGGTGAAAATAGAGAAGTCTGTACATTACATATTTTTGGTCAAGTTTTTGACAACCGATTTTTGACCGACCTCTAGGAACCAATTTAAAAATAAACTTTTCTTATGGAGACTTCATGGGGCCAACATTTAAAGCTTAACCCATTGGCGCCGACATACGAGCGTTACTCGTATGGCCGCTGCAGGCCCGGCGGACAACTTACGAGTGCCGCTCGTGTCACCGCTAGGCAGCGCTATTAGTTATTTAGTTATTATTATTTTTCGCCCTTTTTGTTTCTTCTTACTATTATAATGTTTATAAATATCTTGCTTCTTGATTTGCGTATTTACTCATTTATTTTAGCGAATAACAAACAATTTTGTGTTGCCATGGAAACCACATATCACCAAAAATCAGCTGCGGTAAGGTAAACAAACAATTTTAAAAAAAATTTTACTTATAAAAGTACACAACTTTTAATTTTTCTACGTAGGGAATCGATTGAACTTTATAATAGTAGTGTTATTTGGTGTCTGGATTAATCTTGGAATTTGTATATCAAGTTTACTTTCAAAATATTGTTTTTAAAATTTTTATTTTTATAATCTTTATATATATATATTTTTTTAGTTTAGAACTTTGACTATCCAATTACCACTTTTCTGTAGACAATTTTACTGTGAACAAAATGGTGAAAGAATTATTAATTTATTACCTAAGGTTTTCTTTCTATAGCAATTAGAGTAAAAGTCTACAAATTCGGTAAAATTAATTGCCGCCAGAGGGTGCTGCAGGTAGCGCATTAATTCCTTCCCCAATGGGTTAAGACAGCTAGCCTGACAATACTAATGGGCCAAATTACACGCGGGTTGTACCAAAAGAAAGGTTATCGGTCCTATAAGTGCAGGTTGTATTTGTATTTTGAAGATATAAATAAATTCAACTTTTCTTATGGAAATTTAACATGGGGCTAATTCTATATATTAATAGGCAAGCATGTTTATTGAAAACTTGTTTTCAGCTCCTGTGCTTCGCATGGAAAATCTACGCATACTGTTAGAAAAATATCCATATGTAGATGTGCAGAATCCCTTTAAAAATTAAAATAGTCTCAAAAATAAGCACAAAAGATGAATTTATAATTTAAAAAAAAATTAACATGGGCCTTATATGGGTTGCCAAGTTGGTGACAAAATTACCAAAAAATATAAACAGAATACCCCCCGCAGCAAACCTGCAGACTAAGTGAATTTCCATTTGCCTGATTTTATTTTCAAATAAATTTATTCAAATAACATTAGGTTTAACGAGTACCTAGGTTTGCTGCCTAGGTTTTGTGTTTGTTGTTGGTTAGTTTGCTGGTTTGGTTTGGTTGGTTTGTTGGGAGGGTAATAAAGTGTGTTTTTTAGTAAAATATTAATAGCTTAGTATAAAATAAATAGATTTGCCAGGTTTGATCCAAATATATCCATAAACAAGCAAACTACAAAAGGTTTATCAAGTAGGTATACTGCTACAGGACCTGTAGTATAGGGCCTTGTAATACAGGGAGGGTATTAAACTGTCTTTTTAGTAAAATATTAATAACTTGGTATAAATTAATAAATTTGCCAATTTTTATCAAGATATTCCATAAACAATCAAACTACAACAGTTTAATTATTCTCCATAAGAATAACATGTGAATTTTAAATTTACAATTTTTATAATTTAATCTTTAACCAGTAACTGTATAAAATAATTCATTATACCTACTAAATTAATTGTTTATTCCTCTTTAAAATGGCATAAAGATAAATTCGGAAATTTTATGTTTTGAGGGTCAGAGATGAGAAAACCCAATTTTTACCCTCCCATAAAATCCTGTTGTTCCCATGGTCCAATCATGCTGGTTCACGAACACATTCAAGTTTATACAGCCCTATGGTTTCAAGCCAAATTTAATCAAGATAGGACAAAAATTTATCAAGTTATCGTGTTCACGGACGTATAAATCTATTATTGTAGGATACATGAATGAATAGTGTTTTTGGCCTCTAGAGCCTTCAAAATGAAAAGTTTATTGGTCCCGGGTCTAGGTCTCACCATGCCACCTACGGTAATAGCTGCTTCCCTATAGGGAAATTCGCTTAAAAGTAGCTGAGGGATTTGGAACTCCGTGATACAGTTAAACTCCATAAAACTACATTTTAAACCGTTACCCGTTAAACCGCAATCCGGGTTAACTGAAACCATACGGAATAATTTAAATAAATTGGAAAATTAACCATGCCAGTGGAATTACGTGGGTAGTTGGCCCAGAGGAAGATCACAATATTGTGTGAATGGACAGAATATTCATATTTGGTATACAAATTTGTATCTTTTCAACAAAAGACATTGCTGAATCGAGTGTACGGTTGCACTTTTGACAGGGCTGAAGCACTCAGTACTGGGTATATTTACCAGCACTGGCCCTCATCCAACAGTAGCCAAGGTCACATGCAGTGGCCAAGCACTCTGCCAGATATATCTACAAACTAAACTAAACTGCACCAATACTTCCTAATCTATCTAGATTGTTAAAGTCTATCATTAGTGTTCTACAAAATTAAAAATGAGGAGCTCAGAAACAATAAACATCCCCAGTTGCAAAATAACCAACAGTATATTTTAAAATGTCTCCTGAAAATAAATACTGATAAATCAGCAGCTTGTGTTAAGTTGCAAAAAAAAACATCAAAAGCTTGCTAAAGAGAGAAAAAGAAATGTGCAAGCCTATACAAGTTGGACACCAAAACAGTTTATGGTTCTTTCGGATTTAAATACTGATTGTGAGGATATAGTTTACAGCACTCAACCAGTGCTTGACACAAACATAACAAAAAAATTTAACACGCATGTAACACCAATGGAAAAATCCTGTCTTTTGCTATTTGTAATAGTCATACTACAGGGATGATATGAATGTTTATTTATTTACGGTATTATCAGCTGTCTGTTTTGTTAGTCCAATTTGTTCCATGTCTTATAAGTATTAATGAGAAATAAATTTGCTTGTTCTATCGTTTAACACGTTCACTGCTAATGACGCACTTGTGCGTCATAAGTATATTAGCAGATATATAATACATGATGTATATAATTACATAATATATTTTAATCCACAATTTATAGTATAAAATTTATTTAATTAAAGATATATTGTCACTCAATTAACATGATCATGTTAATGTTTATGTTTTTTAGCCATTTATAAAAGTATTACATATCATTAGCAGTGAATGTGTTAAATTGGTTTTTACATTGTATTTATAACTAGATTTTCCCCAAACACCTTACCTCTGCGAATAATTCAAGAGGTTATGAGCCCAGCATCGTTTTATGTGTAGAAAACTGTTGGGGAATCTAGTCAACTACGGTGAAAAGAATTTTTTCTGACCTGATTTTCTGTCTCACAGGTATTTCTTTTGGAATTGAGTTCTTTCATCTCTACAAATGGAATACATGAATGGTATAAAACAATTGAAAGGAGCAGAAGATTAGCCAACACGGAAGGATCGCTTTTTGGACATTCTAAGAGTTGTTCGACGCAGTTGATATCATTGAGGGAAAGATAAAAAAGCCGTCCCTCTCTGAGTTTCAACTGAAGCTGAAAAAGAAGAACTCAAGAAAATCCGCGACTGAGGTAAAAATAGCTATTTCTCAATGCCTTAGTAGAGATGTAGAGATGTATGTAGAGGATCTACATCTTCCGGAAGATTATCGGCTTAGGAAGCGAGGGACATTTTGGTCAAACAGTTTATACTTTAATACTTTTATTTGAAATGGCGACCATACAAAGTAGGTATTTTAAGCCAAGTATGAATGGAGATGAGTGTAGGATGAGTGGCGTGATCTTGTAGTCTTGTTAGTGACTAAGGCCAACTTGTTCCTTAGAAACAGCTGTTAATTAATAGCCCATACAGCTAATGGCAACTAAGGGACCTACAGTTTATAGTGGAATTCGAACCACATTTATGCCTTGGTATATACGAATTGGTCTAATTATCAGGATAGCACTGAGGATAGTCGTAGTACTCACTCGTGCGGACGTTAATAGTTTGATAACAACTACTTATTTTGATGGCCTGCTAAACTGTGAGAATACTGTCATTAATATTCCTGATGACGATACAACATTCTATCATGTACAGCCTCATATAGTCCCACCATAGAATTCCCAACAAAGAATTCAAATGCAACAGAGTTCTGGGTGAAGATGGGATTACAGCAGAAGTAATCAAAAGTGGAGGAAGCATGTGGAGAAATCTTCAACTTAATTACAACTATATGGCAACAAGAAAAGATATCTACTGAATTGAAAACGGCAACAATTATACCTCTACACAAGAAGGGGGACAAACAAAACTGAAAGAAGGAATTTGTAAGAATTGGAAACTGTAAGACTTAAGGAGATGGCATATCTCCCATACTATTCAACTTGGCACTGGAAGAAGCCCTTCAGAAAACAAAAGAACTTGGATTGGTTGTTAAGCTAGGATCGAGTAGATCTAAACATATTGGCATTTGCTGATGATGTGGTCATTTTGTAACAGTTGGAAACTTGGCAAGTTTGGTAGAAGTACTTCTCACAGAAGCAAACAAAATAGGACTGTAAGTAAATGTAGAAAAAACTAAAATCATTAACTTTGGAAGACAAGCAAACAATAGAAACAGAAACATGCAGATAAAGAATTAACTATAAATTGTACAGGAAGTTTCAAATATTTAGGAGTAACTGTAAATAGTAGAAACTCAGAAGAAGAAGAAATACTAACTAAGTTATCAAATGCCAAATGCCAATAAGTGTTTGGGAGCCTGCAAGAAGTTGATCTAATCTAAAGTAACCAAAATGATGATCTCTCACACAGTGGCAGCAATAAGAGCCCGCCCCCCCCCCCCCACAAGTTTGTTCATTGGGCCCCTCTCTCCCAATACTGTAATTTTAAAAACATTATCACATGTATTACCACCTAAACTTGTACTTCAGCTTGGCACAGCGTCTCCCGAGGCACCGAGGCGTCATCATCTTCTTCCATGATTGCAGTAAAATGAACGTGAATACTTCCCGTAGTCATGGAAGAAGAAGAAACATTATCATAGTCTAACGTGATTTCAACCAAACCTATGACATCATCAGATAACAACTTCATCGTCTCCCGCGTTCACCTCCCAACCCCTAATATCTCCAGTGGCCCGTGGTTACTGGGAAATCATTTGTTTTCACAATTGCGGCAAAATCCTAAATATATCGCTCGTTGAAAAATAAACGTCAATAACGTCTTCCGCAATCCGGCAATGGCAACAAAATATTGAACGTCCCCTGCGGCCATGAAGACATCGTCATCGTCACCTGTGGAGAAATGTTCTCGTTGATATCCGCGATCACGCCCAAAGCGTAGGCCCAATCTTTCAATTTCGTGAGCGTGATCCTCGCGGACATAAAGCTTTTACTTTTAATCGGGCATTATTGTATTGAGGACATAGAAAATCGGCTCGAGCTTGATTTTCTAACTTTTTGATTGATCTCTCAAGCTTGTAGGCCAGGCACTGCTCGGCTCGAAAATCGACATTATATGAAAATCAATAGTTTCCAAAGGCCTATAGGTAAGTAACATTATTTACCTGACTCGAAGTAAACACATCTAATGTGAGAAGTAAACAAATCTTAAGTGCAGCCTCCTAATAGTAAGAAATGAAATGAAATGAGAATCCTTCTTAAGCATCAATGAAAGAATGGAATTATTTATTAGCTAGTGCCCTAGCCACCTAGATTAATTCGCCGATTTGATCGTAAAAAAATTGTCAAGTTCATTTAGTTGAATCAGCATAGAGGGCCCTCTCTGGTGTGACCCACCGGGGGCTAGGAGGATTAACATTAATGTTTTATCCTTCTAGGCGGGGGGCCACATTGGTTCTAAATACGGCCCTATTATATATAGCACCTTCACACAGTCCACGAGGACAGTGCATGACAACCTGCATGACTGATGACAATTCTTTTACTTAGGTTGGTAAAGAATTTATATCGATCGGCCAAGTAATACAGTGTCAGTTAAGCTTTTGTAAACTACTTGTCCTAGTGCTCATACTGGGTTTAACAAATTTTCGTCATAAAAACGTATGGTAATTCTCATATAAATATTGTTATGATAGGGGGCCCGTGTGGCTGAGCCCGTCACACAATTGCGGGCCCTTGTCCCAATAAAATTTGCCGAAAAATCCCGGTCAAGGCTCACAGGCCTCCCTAGCTCACGGATCCCCCTGCACCGCGGGCCCGCCGCCGCCACTGCTCTCACAGAACCAAAATCCAGTTATATAAGACAGCCTTTTCTGTTATAGGGTAGTGAAACATGGGTGTTATCCAAGACAAATGAAAAACGGCTCATTGTGTTTGAAAAAAAAGTCAGAAGAAAAATATTTGGACCAGTGCAGGAGGGAGAAATGTGGAGAATAAGGATAAATAGAGAGCTAAAGATCACTATACACTGGCCCAGATATTGTTGCAATGGTTAAAGGAAGAAGCTTAAGTTGGATAGGGCATGAGCTAAGAAGAGAAAAAGGAACAAGACTGTATGAAGTTTGGAGGCCACACCTGGAGGTAAACGTCCATTGGGAAGGCCGAAGTTGAGATGGACTGACAAAGTATTGAACGACATCAGGACAATGGGTGCAAATGTCAACTTGGCAGAGGACAGAGAAGGGTGGAAGATGCGAAGGTATACACGACAGAGGTACTTGAGGCAAAGAATCAACTGAGATTTGTGGAGCCACGGAAGTAAGTAAGTAAGTTTGATAACAAGTTTTAGTTTGTCGTAATGTCTTTAAAGAAAGAAACAGTTTTTTACCCTTGAAGAAGATAAAAAGCTGAACAAGTTGCTCTTTAGAAACTTGTTTACCATTTTTGGTAAAAATAGGGGTACAAGAAAGTCTTCAGTGCAGCAAAAGTTGTTTGCACAATTGGGCTTATTTCGCCCATGGAAATCCTGTACTGAAATATCCTAAAAAAGCCTTCTTCTTGTCTTCTTACAAATATGTCGTGTGCTGCAACTTGTGGCACAAATAAAATGTCTTTCACTTGTTCGTCGTCAACTTCCTCAACGAATAGGTATTTCAAGAACAACTTCTTCTGCCTCAAACTCATGGCACCACTTCAATTGAAAGTCAGCAAACCAATGAACAGAATCGCTCTAGAACAATCGCTTCAGGTACAATAACATGGTTAGCTATTATTGCTGAGCTAATATCGCTCAGCTACTATCGCTCAACTACTTGTACTATCGCAAGAGCCGCTTCAGGGATAATGGCCCTTAAATATGAAGAAAAATAGAATAATATCTATTTTCTAAACTAGTTTTTTTCATTCCTGTCTTAATTTAACTCTTGTTATAGATGATTTAGAGTGAAACGGTCATTCACTGGGCAAGTCACCCTATACAGTTTCTAGTTAACTAGATTTTCCCTTAAACACCTCACAACTGTGAATAATTGAAGAATCTTGTACATCAAAAGACCATTGCTAATGTCACTGGCTTTGTAAAACCTGAGGCATTGGTGTGTGATGTCGTAAAGGAAGTTAAGGATCTCTCCAAAGATTTGAACGAAAAAGATTGTCTGTTGGTCAGAGTTGGCACTAATGACGTAGAAGAGAAAAGTGAAAACAGCATAAAAGGAGATGTCCATACACTTTACTAACTAGAATCATTAATTAAATAAAGTTGATTATTGCATTACTGCCTTTGCATCATGACTTGCCAATATTAGAAATATAAACAATTGGCTCGTAGAATCACTGAACAACTCTGTAGAAAAATAACATTACTAGAATTAGAATTCAACAGCACAATCTATAATTTTATCCTATAAATTAGGGGATGAAATTAAAATTGAGTTTTCAAAATTAGTAAATCTGTAGGTTGTCCATTATTAAATGAGAATGGTGCCAATACCATTCGCAACTACTTTGTTAAACAAAGAACTGTGTATAGTCTATTATTTTGAGAATTCAAAATACAAAAATTAAGAAGATTATTGAGTTTTAATATTTTACTAGAGGTCGTCCAGTGGTCGAAAATTCAACCAAAAATATGTAATGTACAGACTTTTCTATTTTCACCCCACACTGTAAATAAAACATGAGATTAGAATTTATTCCATTTGTTTTGATTTTCTGTTTATATTTCGTTGTTATTTTATTACCAGCAATGACAACCCAAAAAGCCCGTGTTAATTTTTTAAATTTCAAATTCATTTTTTGTGCTTAGCCTATATTTGAGCATATTTAACAATTTTTAGCACTAAATACAACAATGGACAAAAAGCCCGTCTGTTGCGGCTGGCGCACCTGGTTAGCACTTGTACAACAATTGACTAACGTAAACTGTTCTCATAAATCAGATTGAAAAACAAAAAAACATTATTGTATAGACACTGTTACCACCCTCGACCTAACAAAACAAAATTTAAATCAATCTTTTGATTTGATTACACCAACCTACAGTATCTAGCTAAAATACTGTATATAGTACGTTGAAAAAACAATGAGTTTGTCTTTAATATTAACAAAAAAAATTTTGTGAGTTTACAATAGGTTGTAGACAGATTCAATACCCTCCATAAGCGCCATTTATTTCTGTCATTCTCTCCTCAGGCTTGAGGATCGGTGTAGTTAGCAGGAATATACTGACTGCTTTGTTTTGCATGGCGAATATAATCTACAGTAGTTGCAGTATTACCATTGACAACCAACACAAGTGTAGACTCATTACATTGTAAAAGTTAAAGATAGTTTTTCATGTCTAGTTCATGTTGGTAACACTGAGGGCTTTTGTCAAAAAAATTTTGTTTATATTATTTTAGAATTATTTTACGATTTATGTTTTAATTTCTTGTGATATAAAAACCCTAGTTCAATAACCCTAGGCTCAATAAACAATAGGGGACGAGCTATTGTTTTTGATTAGGCCTTAATAGTTTTATTTGGTAAAACGAGGCTTTAAATAACTGAAATAACAAGAATTGTCTTCATTCAACTGATGCATAAATATGACAAATCTACTAAAGGTGATGTTTAACCTATGGTATCACGTACTGTATGGAGTTTATGTTTGGGCCAGAAATATGAAGCAACTGCGGCAGCAATGGCCATGCTTTGTTACAGGAATACTTGCGGGTTAGTTTCGTTTCGGTCCCACAAACGTGAGTTCACTATTTGAGACATAAAACTGCTAAACGTGTTTAAGACAGCATTTTGTTAAGGCTAGAACCAAGTAAATTCTTCAAAAAGCTTACGATGATGAAATTGCATCGTGGAATGGTGTTTTAGTAATTGACATATTGGCTGGATAGTTTTTAATAAAGGTTTGTTGGAAAGTAAATTTAACTAGATTTAGGGACGGTAAAATTATTGGGCCTAGGGGCGCCAAATCGCTTAATCCAGCCCTGGCTCTACCTCTAATACTACCAATCCTTATTGGTAGTGGGCTATTTTTTTTTCCTTCACATTTAGACTTAGTTTCAGGTACCCTGTTTAAGATCATGTAATTTTGTAGGTCCAAGATAACAGTATTAAGTACAACACATCTATTAAAATGGGCAATACTATTAAATATAAGAGTTTCTTTAATCAAACATAAAGAGGCAAATGATTAACTCACCACTCGCTGCTTCTCGACGCTGCTGACGAGTGCTGCGCTGCCGGGGGTTGTGTCAGAGAGGTTGACACCCCTGACTCCCTGCTCCAACCCCTGCAGGATGACAGAGGCTCCGAGGAACTTGTTGAGGAGAGCTCTGGCCTCACGATCAGCATCTGTGTCTCCGCTCTCACTCACTGCCACAACAACATGCATACCGGTAACTCAAACCCATCCATATGGACCAGTTGTATAATTTAAAATTGAAAAAATAATTAGAGTGAGCTGCCATCAAAGCTTTACTATCTATCTTATTTTTGATACTTTTATCATATATATGACATAATAGACGCTATATTTTACAGTATGGTGTCCTTTTAGTTCAAGTTAAAAAGTTGACGGGTTCATTCAACAGAAATCTGTAAATTTACATCAGACTCTGTCGGAGGCTCAACTACAGAGTACTCATTTTCATTCAAAAACTTACTTCAACTTTAAAATAGTAATGGAGTGTCTAGTTCACCCATGATCAAAAATAAAGCTCAGTAACACTGATATTATAAGAGGCATGCAAAGTAATTCAACCGTCTATTATGCATAGTTGGTGACGCACCCGAGCCACGTCACTTTTTTAATTCCAGTAATAGACTGCAAGTCTGTTAAACTTGTTGATTAAAGTTTAAAAAAATTAAAAACTTTTAGTTAGTGTCCCCGCTATCTAATCAATATTTCAGTATGCCCTAGTTCAACAATTTTAAACTATTTGTATGACTTCGCAACTAGACAGAGCACAATGGCACAATGGGCCCTTGTTGCTTTATATTCAGAAGTCTGATCAAGAGCAGAGTGATCGATTTACTTTAAAAAATACCTCAACTACCTGTATTTTCTCAACAATAAAAATTATTTTCATATTGTATGTTTTCCTATAACATTGAATAGCATTGGGGTTTGTTCTATAGATATTCCTATAGGCTGTATGTTTGAATAAAATTAATGAACAATTTACTGTAGATCAAAAATATTTATCACAGCAATCAGTTCAATCAGGATTATAACATGGATACTTTGCTCATCTAACTACTGTTGTCTAGTGGATACTAATACAGTGTCTAGAGTGATGTACAATTTCTTACCTAGGTCAGCATTCCTCATTCGTGTCAGAATATCCTGGACTCCAGTAACTTTAGTTGTGTTATCCAGGAATGAAGAAGTTTCCTTAACTCTTGTTGTAGTAAGTGACTCTCTCCTATTAATAAGAAATACTTACGAATAATAATACTGTATTTTAAATTCTTACTATTAGACGGTATACAACAACTCGTTGCCAACACAATAATCAAGAATGGTATTGGGACATACTAATTTAATAATAAACAACCTACCAAATTACAAATTTTTAAAACACTATTTTTATTTTATCCACCATATTATATAGTACAAAACTTTATTTTGCTGTTGTGATATCACTTATCTGAAGAAATTCAGCTATACACAAAAAAACTTTTAACACGTTCACTTTGGCATATATAAAACAGGTGCTGCTCCACCGAATCAGCGAACGCAATTGACATTCAAATATTTCAGTCTGACGAATCACAAAAGAGCAGCGATGATTGTGCTGCGTTACCTCGAGAGTGAACATAGTTAACTGAAACACCCAAGGGTAGCAGCACTGACTGGATCCGTAGCCAGTGTCTTTGTAACTATTCATTCTTTGTCTATTCATGTATGTAAAATGTATCAAGTGAATAAAGATAAGTTGATTTGGTAATGTGGCTTGAAGTGAAAAAATCCCCAAAACTGGGACTAAAGCATTGCCAGACGGGATTTTACGGGAAATTTTAATACCAATCTACACCATAATAAAAATCAGATTCTAAGTTACAGGCTGGCAACGATTATAACGTTATGCGTCAATGGCTGAGCTGACACTGACTGTTCAAAGTTAAATCATTAGAACGGCTGATTACAACCGCGCAGCACCTGACACGCAGCCGGCACCGGCCGATTTTGACTGCTCAGCAGCAAACGTGTTAAAAATACTTTGGACAGTAAAAAACATGATAGACGTTGATTGCCATTACCAAGATTGGAAATTTATTTAGTTAATTTAGTGACAAGTATACTATGAACATAGGGATGGACAGGTCCCGAAATTTCTGGAATTTTTCGGGAAAAAAATATTCCTGATTATCGGGACGGGATTACATTTGATTCGGGAATTTTTCGGGACGGGATTTGGTCCGATCGTCGGCGATTTTGCCGCTTCGCAAGTGCCGATGACGCCGCTATTGCGAACGATAGGTCCGCGAACGCAGGAGACGAAGTCATTTCGACGATCGGGCCGTGACCGCGGAGTCCTACTGACAATCGCGCCGTGACCGCAGAGTTCTACTGACGATCGCGCCGTGACCGCGGAGTCATGCCGACGATCGCGCCGTGACCGTAAGTCATACTGACGATCATGCCGTGACCGCGAGTCATACCGACGATCATCCCGTGACCGCGGTCATTTTGACGATCACCCTTTTTTTCTACATTTTACATTCCCAAGTTTCTACAGGTACCTGTATGTATATTGTTACCCATTCTTTGGTTTTTATAGATCAATACCACAAACGGTAAAAATTGATTTTGTATGTCTTTTTTTGGTAACTGCAATACTCAAGACTTTCTTTTTATGCACAGAAAAAATCCCGTCCCGAACTAAAAATTCAATCCCGTCCATCCCTAGAAGCAGAAAAAAATACAAAAAACATTCTCTATACATATTTGACATTTTGATGAATATTGTTTATAAAAATCTATCTATTGAATTGAGAATTCCATTACCTTTCTTCTGTAGATGATCTGGAGAGAGATTCCCTCCTCGTGTTGCTATCACTGCTCTTTGAGGGAGATTCTCTTCTTAGAGTAGTGACATCACTGGTTGGAGACTCGCGTTGTTTTTCTGGCGATTGCCTGCCATTCCTCCTCTCAGCTGACAAAGTGGTCGACTGCTTTAGTGTCGACGACACTGAAATCAATACTAGTTTTTAAATTGTTGTCAGTTGAAGTCTGAGGAAATAACGAAATAACGAAGAGGGCTCTTTTAAATTAAATGTCTCCAATAACAGGGTCTGCAAATTTCCTATTTTTATTATTCAAAAAAATTTTAACATGATTGTCAAGTATTCTACTATTTACAATATGATTTGCCTTTTTTTCTGTTTCTTAGACACAATAAAATATTATTGGTCTGTCTTCAACTTATAACCCCCATGTAAACGGGGGGGGGGGGGGGGTCCGGAGAAGAAGAGAATTTGGAAAAGTAATAAGTGTAAACTAGCTTTTTTATGCAATCTAGCCATAATAATTTTTTAAATATAAATTGGTATTTTAATTGGGTTTATTATATTTAACCTATTTGATTAGGGTGTTTGAAAATAAAAACATGAATTTAAATTAAGTTCATTGGGTGGAACTTATCCTTACTTAAAAATCTCCTCAAAACAGGATAGCTTTACCAAGTGCACGTAAACAGCGGGAACTGAGCAAAGAACGCGAATTTACAAATGGTGAGTAGATGTCGGTGACGTTAAAGCACTTAGAAGATAATACCTGTTTGGGCATTATCTAAGGCATAATTGAACAGCACAAACATAAATCCTTTCCTACTTTTACAGGATTTTTGACATTGTGTAATAACTAAATCGGGTTTTGGCGGGCCTAGCTGCTTTAACTCAACTCTCTGTTCAAAACTTACCTCCTCACTACCCGCATACTTTGTAGAAATATTTTTAACCAAATTCATAGTTCATTATTAGCACAAAACAACACTTCTAAAGAAACAGTGGTATATTAATATATTAACGACTCGAATACCAGCGCACGCGCGGCACGATAAACATCACCTCACAAATCACTACAGTATTCACTTTTGACTGATCAGTGATCTCATGATAATTGTGTTGACAGATCGAAGGACTCAGTGCTCGTTGTGGCAATAGTTAAAGCTACTGTTTACGGAGTCCCAAACTCCCTATATCTATTGAATTAGAGCCTGATGCAGTGCTGTGATTGGTCGAATATTTCCATTCATTTTAGTGTTTACATGGGAGTTTAGACTCATACCTACTGAATCCCGGCGTACTACGGTTGCTGACCCCAAGACACTGCGCCAAATCCTCTCGGGCCATACCTTACCCCTCCCCTTGCCCTTCCTTCCTATCACCCTTGACAACAACATAGTAAAAATTTAAAAAATCCTAGTTTGGCGTCACCCCCGCCCCCTAGTGTGCTTGACGCCCTGGAGCGACTGCTCCACTCGCTCCACTGTCGCTAAGCCACTGAATAAAACTGTTATTCTCAATTTTCTTTCAATTTATTTTAGCTGTTTACTCAAAGTATTTTCTCAGGCAAAGTTTCTTAAAAGAAAAGCTTAAAGCTATTAAAATAGTTTTACTAACTTCTAATGAACTTTAAATAAATACTTTATTATGATTTCAGTTTCATTAAATTTGCAAATAAAATATTCTAGCCTACATTGAAAACAGTCTTCAATAATAAAATAGAAACATATTCTAAATCATAATACAAAAATTATATTTATGTGCAATAGATGTGTTCAATCTGATATATTGATGTTATAACAACACTGTAGGTAACAGACCAACCTGGTTCCTGAGAGCCTTGCGGTTGCGCAGAGGAGGTGAATGAAGAGGTGCGCAGGATAAGACCTGCACGTGCCGAAGTGTTGCGCGCACTGCTCACACTGTTAGCTGAGTTCTCTGTTAGTCCACACCACACACACCTCATTATGACATGCACATCACTGGACTACAAACTACAATCACCATAGGGAACTGGAGATTTCACATTCCCACTGTCCCTCGGTGATTGCAGTTAACATGTTTTATTTGATATGGGGTTGTTTATTGAATAGTGAATTATCAATGGCAGGACTCTCTCCCTAAATCTAGAGAATTTGAAGACTTAATATGCCATTCCCAATATTGGAACATGTGTCGTATAATAATGTTACAAGTTAGCTATGTCACTCTATACTGTATGAATATGGTTACCGTATTAAACAGAGGAAATTTTATAATAATAAATTAAAAACATTTATTCATAAATTTTTCAAGATAATCAAATGCCTCAATTTTAATGCATGTTTTATTGTTTTCATAAACCCATGTAGTTTATATGATCATATTTTCCATTCATTGACCAAACCCATTTCAAACAAATAAACAAATTCATATTTACATTGTTAAATTGTTATAATAGGTTAATAAACACCTATCAAACCTTTAAACAGGCTATATACAAATACCCCCCCCCCCCCAATCATGCTGGTTTCGCGAACTTATTCAAGTTTATACCGCCTTACACCTTTCAACCAAATTTCATCAAAATCAAACAAAAATTACTCAAGTTATCGTGTTCACAGACAAACACACACACACACATATATATATACATAAATAAAAATTTGAATGAATGGTATTTTTGGCCTCTGGGGACATCAAAATGAAAAATTAAATCGGTCCCGGGCCTAGGTCTTACTATGCCACCTACGGTAATACTGTAGCTACTTCCCTATAGTAATTATGAAAGTGGCAGTTTCAATATATAAAATAATGTTGTAATGTATAATAAGAATTAAGAAGGTGACAAAGTTGGATGATATGATTGATACTTTTGGTGTTACAAGAAAACTGTTGTTAGGATGGATGATATTCTAGTTAAAAAATCCTAGAAGTGAACATTAAGTCACAGCTACTGTATTCACAAATACTAAGTTACTGATTTCTTTACATGCAATTTTTGTTTTTGTTTTGAGTTATTTTCCACTTTTGAGTGGGGTTTTACAATTCAGAACCATCACAGAAGTACTCTAAAGAGGAGTTATGTTTAAAACATACCTGTGAGCTCTCATACTTCACATGTAGTGGATTATTAAGTATGATTAGTGTTAAAAGGGACAAATTCATCACCTATGTTCAAGACAATGAAAACATCTCTACTCATTTAGCATTGAGTGCCATAAAACACCAATTTCATTGTTGTGAGAAAAATTATGTGATGTCAATACCTGTAGCTTGTTGGAACTTATGCTGAAGGGCACGGACAGAGTCACCTCGAACTATCGTTTTTTTTTTCTCTTCCACCGACTCTTCCTCACTTGACTTTTGTCTTCTCAGAGTTGGCGAAGAAGTTTTTGTCATTGTATCACTCGACCTCGTGGATGAAGAAGATTTTGATTTTGTGTCGTCTGTTGTAAATTTTTGTGCAGTAGAAGAAACTTTGGAAACTGTAGTTTTGGTAACATCATCTTCCTGGCTGGAAAACCTTCTTTCACTTTTGTCCTCACTCTGTACTTTCTTTAATGAACTTTTTCTGATTTTTGTTCCGGCGGTCTCCTCAGTGACTGAGGCTCTCTTGGTAGTTTTTCCGTCTTCTTCTACCTCTGTGATTCTTGGGCCAGAAGTCCGCCGGCCCCCCAGGGTCGTGGTGGTGGTGGTCAGTTTGTTGACTCCCTCGTCATCTCCTCTAGGGCTCTTGTATGTGTACTGTGACCTTGTGACCTTCCCCACAGGCTCTTCTCCGTTCTTAGCAGATATTTCACCTGAAAAAATAACCAAAATCAAAACTAGTTTACATCATCCCTTAACCTTTGGGGAATATGACCAGATAAAAACCTTCAAGTAGTAATTTCATAATACAGCATGAAACATGAACTCTTCCTGGTTAAAACTAAATCATCTATGGTGGTTAGGTTTGGGGGGAGGGATTTTGAAATGGGGTTGTTCCTATTCTTAAGCAAGCAAGTGCTTTTCATTTTTAACTACAATAAATTATTGGGGATTATCAATAATATTCATTTAATTGAATTTAAAATCTAAATTTAAAGGAGCCTGTCCAATGATTCCAAGTAAAGCAAGGCGGAAGAGCTACGAAGCTTATAAAAATCATGTATTTCTGAAATGAAATAATCATTTTACGAGTTTACTTATAAACACTAATGGTAAGACATACTTGTTAAAGACCTACTAAAGAACATGCCAACACTTTATGTCTGATAAAGAATAATAAATTTGCTATCTCAAAATGTCCTTTTTGCAATAAAATTTCATTGGATTCATCCAATGATGGTTTTAAATATTAAACTTTGTTACATCACAATATAGTAATGTCATTAGTTTTACTTTGGAGTATGTATATAAAAAACCACACAAGATAAAGATACAATAAACACACACACACACACACACTTGACACTTGATAGTAAGTAACATGATTTTATATTTTTAGACAGTATAAAATATAATGTGGTCAAATTCAACAAGCAAACACAAATCTTTACATCAAAATAATACCTTGGTCGTGTGAATGTTGGCGAGCCAGAGAAATGGCAACAAGACTGCATCCTCCTACCAACACTAAAGCTATGGGGAGCCAAGACCACAAAAACACCACTAGCACCAGTACAGACCCTAACGAAGTTACCTGATTTGATGGTAACACCATTATGTTGTTAACCTTAGATTAAGTTTTAACACTTTGATTTGAACCATGTTACGTTAAAAATAGATTTTGTTCTCTTCTGGTAATTTGATAATTACTTATTGAAGGAAAGTGTAGAATTATGGCAGTTGTTCTGAAGAAGATCATCATAATTCATCAGTCCGAGTTTTAATGGAATTTGTATAGAAATAGATTACACACACACAGCTGGAGACAAATTAAAGAAAATAAGTAATGAAAGAAACTAAAACTAAAATCATATAGAAGTGTAGTGAACTATACTTATCACAATAGACAAAAACTGCAAAATCTGTTCACTTGCATGAATTGCTTGTCACATGGCGACTCAAGACCTGATGAAGACTGAAATAAACCTCTGGCTGCAGCCAAGAAATGATTCACTACACAGTTCTATGAAAGGTCACTGACTAAAAAAAATAACAAACAAGAAGACAGCAAGGGAGGTAGACAGTGTGAAGAGTGGTAGGTAGTCGGTGGTTGTGAACTGAGTAGCCGGTTGGTGTGCAAACGCTATTTCCAGCCGTCGAGAGGACTCGACTGAAATACACGACAGAGCTGATAATCCATCAGGCGCTAATTGTAGACAGCAAAATGTTTGTCCAAAATAACACCTCTTATTCCAGCACCTCTTTGGAGCAGTAACTCCTGATGACTTTTGTGTCAGGAATAGACTGTTATTTTTGTTTCCAAATCTTCTTTTAGATTACAAACAAACAAATAAAAATCGTGTAAAACCACTTTATTATTAATTTGAAAGTCCTGTAACATTGGTTGCTTAAAATCAGTTTATGTCTATGAATCCAAATAAACTGTCAGTACTTTATTATTTTTTTCTTTCCTTTCTTTTTTTAACTCAACAAAAACAAATATATTCATTTAATTGAATTTAAAATCTAAATTTAAAGGAGCCTGTCCAATGATTCCAAGTAAAGCAAGGCGGAAGAGCTACGAAGCTTATAATAGATTTGAAAACAGGTGCCATTAGCCTATTGGGTCATAACGAACCAACTTGGCTGCAGCACCAACTTCTACATAGTTCTGTCACCCCCAACTACAGACAACAGCATCTATATATTAATTTGAAACTGTTTTTCTTTGTGACAGCTAATTTGAGAGAACGGCTGGACGTAGAAACTCGGTAGGGGTCTCTAAAGAAAGGTCTTGGTCCGTAGATGAGCCATCAAGAGAGAAACATGGTAAATTCCCTTGGGGCTCTGCCCCAGTGGCCTTTAAATTCCCATCCCATGTTATTCTTATGGAGGAAAAACGGGTTTTTGTGACAGCTAATTTGAGAGAACGGCTGGACGTAGAAACTTGGTAGGGGTCTCTAAAGAAAGGTCTTGGTCTGTAGATGAGCCATCAAAAGAGAAACGTGGTAAATTCCCTTGGGGCTCTGCCCCAGAGGCCTTTAAAGTCCCCTCTTCAGATTTGTTTACATCACGACCATACGTATACATTTACACTACTTTTTAATGAAACAGCTGTTAATATTTAAATTGTGATTTACTAAATTTGTCAAAATGAAGTGTTTGCAAAGGTTTTTGCTGATTTTAAAATTGATTTTCTTCTGCATCGTGTCATGTTTTGCAATATAATGTTGTAATATTGTAATGTTATAATGTGCAATCCTAATATCATAGTAACTCGGCTCCTCCTAATATCACAGTAACTCTTAAAATGATTTCTTATGGAGTTAACTTATGTCTATTGTATGAGTTGGTTTCTGCCTTTTTTTACCACTTCTTGGAGATTGTACGTAGGTGTGTTGCACGTAGATGATATTCTTTGCGTATTGCATCTGTAGCCGATACTTGGGTTGGTGTAATTATTACAATGGAAAAAAGCGAGAAATCCTGGACAATGTGATAGAGGCCTACTAAAAATAAAACTGAATTAGAAGAAATAGAAATGATGTTTTTTTTCTTCATTTATAATTGTTATTATAGAGAACCTAATGTGGCTATGAGTGGGAAACATTTGTAGAAAACTCTAAAAAACAAGATCAGCTTTTGAAAAAAGATAAGATATTTACAAACAATTTTGATTATATCAAACTGTTGTGTACATTGTGAGTATTTCCATAATCTTTGAGTCGACTTTTATAAAGTCATCGGAAATTATGACCGTCATTCGTTTTGAAATAACGCCTGTAATGCTTTGCAATTGCTCGAATTCGAGCAACAGGTACACTAGTAGTTAGTAAATACAAAAGCTTTGATGTAGCCTATACAGTACAATGTGTGAAGCATATCAAGCATCATCCAATTCAGCCCAGTGACAGGCAAGGTTGTGTTCCATATATTTTGAACCAAATTTTGAGATGGACACATCCACCTACAACATCAACATCGCCTACAAGATTGTACCCCCTACGACACAACAATGTTTTTTCTTACCAAGTTGGTTTGTAGGTTGATAAAATTAAGACTCTATTTATTTACCAGTAACAGAAATTGCAGGAGGTGTTATTGGTAACATTTTCTTTAGAGACAAAACTCTTATGATGTTGATGAGTTTTCCATTATCATTAATTTACTTACTTATTACACATACTGGGTGTTGTGGTCAAGAATACAACTGTCACATGGCATAATAATTTGGCTAAACCAATTAATTAACAGAGGAATAACACAATAATTTCTTATTTTAGCTATGCTAGGCTGGATTAGATGATTGATGACCAAGCCAAATGTGAAAACAAATGCGAGCCAAAGTACAGAAAATAGTCAATAGTGCAAAAAGATTTTTACATCCCGGACCTCAGCAAACCCAATCATTGGTGAAACAAGTTGGGTCATGCATGGATGGACTTACATAATAATCCAATGTACAAATAATCTTTAACTGGGTAGAAAACCCATCCTCCTACCAAAAAATCTATCCTCACTCTGAACTTTCTTTAATGAACTTTTTCTGATTTTTAAACACAATAATTAAGTAAAAAAGAACTACCAAAAAAATGTCAATCGATCTATCGTCTGAATCAGAGTCTCTATCCCTGGCACGCAGAGCTCTCAACCTACCAGACAAAGGAGGTCCGTTAGTGTCCTTCACCACCTCCTTGGTCCTTTTATTTTTAAATTTATATACAAAAGATGTGGTATAAGGTGGTTAACGTATTGATTTAAAATTCAGTTTGGCCCTAGACTTAGTAGTCATTAACACGTTTGCTACCCCAATAGTAATAAATTTTTCATTCATATGGACCTGCAACGCTCATATGCAACGGCTGGTTTTTACCCATATTCTGCCGTCGCATATGTGCGACGGCTGGTCACATTAAAATAGACTGACGTTGCATATTTGTGTCGGTGTTCCAATGTTATTAAAAAGCTTACATCTTCAAATGGTCTATTTGAAGGCGCTGAATTCTCTGCAGCGGTCTACAGAGATGTCTGTCGCACATGAATGTCACTTGGTGAGTGGATATGATGATTAGTGATGTCAGCTAACTGGTTTTTACTTTATTGTACCACTCGCCTGTGGTCTGCATGTACTGTTAACCAAGTGACACCCGGTCTATGTATAATATTCAAATGTATATTTCGGTCCGTGGCAATGACCGCAGCGTCAAATATATACGGCGATCGGTAGCAAATGTGTTAATTTGTCGTGTGGTGAGATATTCAAACAACAGGAAAATGTTAGATATTAACCAGACTAGGGTTTGTCAATCCTCTATCTATAGCAAATTCCTGACATTGATATACACAAAAAAAGGGTTTACCTTGAATGACATCCCGACTGTGCGACACTGTGCCATCGCTAGCTACGGCCGTTCTGGACGACACAACTGTATGGCTACTCTCAACCTCACTACGGAGAACCCCTGCAAAAATACAAAAATCTTTACATTTAAGGATAAAATGTGATCAAAATATACAAAGTCAAATACATACTCAATTTCTACTCTGAAAGGTGCTATAACACACTAATAAGTTTGTAATCATATTGAACTTGTTTACACAAATCAAACATGGAACTTTGAAGTGAAAAAAGTTGGTCTTGAAAACATTAGATTAACAGATATTTTGCTGTTAAATGGGGTTAAATATAAGGTCAAAAAGAAGGTCTGAACTGTTAAATATAAGAAATTTGTTATTCCCAAAAATATGCATTAAAGAGTTTTAACTTTAACTTCTCAGCATGATTTTACATTTGAACAACAAATCATAAAAAAGATAACAACTTCCAAATATATGTTCTATGAAAGTTTTAAGAACTCTTCTCACCATATAGCAGTAAAGCAGAGTTTTACATTAAACCTTGAAGGCAGTCAAAGTCTAGTCTTCTGACGTCAAACGCTATAAATAACACTGACAGACATCTCTATCATAACATTGGAGAGTTTGCTCAAATAAATTAGTACTTTCTCTTTCTTTTATGCTTTTATGTAGTAGCATATAATATGTTGAAACTAAAAATAAACTGAAGTGCTAAACTATAACAAAAGATATAGTATATTCATTGATAAAACTATATATATATATATATATATTAACGAATTTCCCCATAGTGAAGTAGTTATTACCATAGGTGGCACGGTAAGACCTATGCCCGGGATCGATTTACTTTTTCATTTTGATGTCCCCAGAGGCTAAAAACACCATTCATTCAAATTTATATACGTCCTCGAACGCGATAACTTGAGTAATTTTTGTCCAATTTTGATATATATATTAACGAATTTCCCCATAGTGAAGTAGCTATTACCATAGGTGGCACGGTAAGACCTATGCCCGGGACCAATTTCCTTTTTCATTTTGATGTCCCCAGAGGCTAAAAACATCATTCATTAAAGTTTATGTACGTCCTCGAACGCTCGATAACTTGAGTAATTTTTTTCGGATTTTTATGAAGTTTGGTTTAAAGGTACAAGGCGGGATGAACTTGGATGAGTTTGTGAACCAGCATGATCGGACCATGGGAAAGGGGTTTTACCCTAGACCAGTTTTATGGGGTTAAAATTGTCTTTTCTTATTTTTGAACCTCAAAATACCAAATTTCCCAATTTCTCTCCACTTTTTTAAAGAGCTTAAAAAACAAATAATTTAGTATATCAAAGTGTTTTTTTTTTTACAGATACTGGTAAAGGAGAAAATAAAAAAAATTGTAAATTTTAAATTCTCATGTTATTCTTAAGGAGAATATTGTAAAATGTTGTAGGCCTAGTTTGCTTGTTTATGGATATATTTTGATAAAACTTGTCTAATTTATTTATTTTATTCTAAGTTATTAATATTTTATTACTAAAAACACACTTTATTACCCTACCTGTAGGCAGCAAACCTAGGTACTCGTTAAACCTAATGTTATTTAAATACATTTGATCGAAAATCAATTCAGACAAATGGAAATTTGCTTGGTCGGCAGGTTGTATATATATATTTTAAAGTGCTATTTTTGTCGGTAGACCATAACTTCATGAATTCTTCACCAATTTTCATAAATAAGGTGTAATTTTATAGCTCTTTTTACCTACTACGCTAGGAAAGTATACAAATCACTAATTTTTCAGTAGATTTTTGTAAAAACGATCTAGTATATTATTCTGCAAGTAATTAAAATTTTAAATGTTTATTTACGTTATTCGATCAGCTGAAACATGTGAATTAAGTTAATCGAAACAAACAAATATTATTTCTCAAATCCAACTGTTTTGTTTTTACTTCATCCATGACGACCAACATACCAGTTCTTAGTCTGTGCTCTCTACAATAAATAGGTAACCCCGGAGATTAAATCAAATTATTCACTTTAAAGAAGTCAAAACAAGAACAAAAGTAAGTACGGCATGGATTCTTTAGCTTTTATATTTGTTTATTTATAACAAAGCCTTCATTTTGATATACCTACCAACCATTCTATGTATGTTTAAGAATTCCATCTTCAAACATCACCTCTTATCTTTTCTTTACTTCAGGTTTCAAAGAATAGTTATTTTGTTTCGAATTTCTTACAGACAGGTAACGGGTTGTATCAGTTTTTATTTGGTTCTTTATTAAGGGACGTAGAACGCTCTGTTGTATCCATTAGAGTTTTTTTTTTACTCATTAAGCCCTTTAGGCTCGTTAGCCTATAAACCTATGCCAAAAAAAAACTCTATTATCATGTTGATGAGAATTCTAAGCATGGTCCAAGATGGTCTGTATCTCACTTGGGCACCTACACTATCAAAGCGAAGTTGGCTGACTCTGTTCAAACTGTCATGCTCTGCAATAGTCCGTAATCCTTTCACACTAACTTTGAAGGAATTTCTCTTAAAGTTACCTTTTGCCATGACTTTAAATGAGGCATAACGGCGTATGGACAGACGCTACCAAAGGAAGGGTTGCACGTGCCAGACTCTGTTTTTTAGACATTCAGTTTGTGTGGCTTTGTCAAGGGTGCACTTTTTCAGTGAAAATTATGTGTAAAAACAAAGCCATCAAAACAAAAATCGTATATGGCCGTATTATTACTTCAAAAATAGTGTTCAAATAGGTCCTGTAAACATGTAAAAACGTAAATAACTTATTTTGAAAAGGTTAATTAGGCTATCTAAAATGTAAACCCACATCTATTCCTGAAGTAAGAACCCATACTTTAATCAACGATGCACTTACTACGCAAAATTAACTATGTTGTGCACCTCAATAGAGTAGAGAACGATTCACTATGAATGCTTCCCCAGGGTCGGCTAGATTAATATTAATATTAATGGTAATTAATAATCACACTGTATATTAAAACGTGACAGGGTTTTTTTATTTCACGATTCTGAATCAACCACTTGACGGATTTTCATGATTTTTGTGTTGAAAGAAAGATAATTTTGAGAACTAGGGAATGACGAAGCCAAGATTTTAGTTTAGGGTTTCAGTTTTTTAGAAAAAAAAGTTTTAAATTTTAAAAAATCTAGCAGCCGACGCTAACATTCTACTCTAGCTTTTGGTATAATACCATTTGCTTAACGTAACAGCTGTAAACATTGAGCGTTTTCGACACAAATTCATCATTTGGATGAAAATGAAATGACATACGTAGAATTGACTTTCAAATTTATATTATGTGTAATGCTATAATCATTGATACGTTCATTTATTTGGTAAAGAGGATTAGAAGATTATTTAAATACATAGTAAAATACTAGATGTTCTAATTCATTTTTTGGGCAGTCTTTAAAATGTTAAAATTGTTTTAGTGCAATATAATTTGTTATAACTAACAGCTGGTTGAATAAAAAAGTATTCTATAGAACTATGAGGTTAATTTATTTACTCTGTGATTTTGTAATTGATTATAGGAAACCAGTAATTTTATAACTATTGCTGTATACAAATCAAAGCTCACGAATCTTCAAAAGAAATCTTATAAAAATTATTTTACTACTCGACTTTTAGAGGAAAGGTTGGGAAAATAACAATGATCACATATTTTTATTCATCTTGGCAGCTTTTTCTTTACTATAAATTTTGAAATGCTTAAACTATGCTTGAATTAGTAATAGCCACACTATATACAGTTTTAATGGACTACTTGATTCCCGTACGTAGAACCATCAGCTCGTTATTGTTAAAATAATTGTTCTATCAATGACAATTTGAAAAAAAAAATTTAAGATTTAAAACAAATGGTGACACAATAGAAGAATCAAAATTAAAATGATTATACTATATGATCTTGAAGCTAAATGATTTGTTTTGTTTTGAAGACACATTACCGTATCTGGAGTTTTATTGACCACTTTGTTTTCCTAAAGTTATAATTGGTGTTTGCAGGGAAGTGTTTCTAACAAGGCATGTCTCTAGGGTTAACACCACCTGGTAATGGTGACTAGGACTGTTGCCCCAATGGGCAACTTGCGGGTATAAGGACCAAGACAGTGGTCGCTGAGATCAGAGAAGTTTGGCAGTGTTATTTTCTCTACTGTCCTGCCCGTGGACAAACTATATTGTAGTGTGTGGAAGGAGCGGATGTCAGAACTTTGTAGAGATGCAGATATTTAAATTCGTCCCAGGGTGTTTGGAAATATAGTTAATATGTTTAGCATTGAAGTGAACTAAAATCTTATGTAGGTAAAAACTTCAAAGGCAGATGAAATATAAGGGAGGTTAGAAAACGTAAATTTACCTCCAGTGGTGGCGATGTTTTCATGTTTTTGTATGATGGATTTGAGGCTGAGTCCTCGGTTGAGATTGTTGACCTCGGAGAGGTGACCCTCGGATTGCTGATCTTTCCCCTCGTCATCTGTAAGGATGAAGCTGTCCCTCAACTTAGCCCGAGGCTTCTGACGAGGTTGATCTTGAGGGCCATTTGTTTCTTCTAAAATTAAAATTACTAAGTTAAATAAAATTCCACTTTCAATCATCTTTATGAGGCAGATATTTTGGCGAAGCCTTTAAATTTTCATATGAGTTGGCCAGTTTCAGTTGATATTTAAAATGTAATCCCTAATATATTACTCATTTTGATGATACCTCATAAAGTATAAAAAAGGCATATATATTCCAGCTACATGCTAAATGAAACCTCTGATTATGATGAAGTGAAAGCATCTGTACAGGTAAATAGGCCTAACTTAAACATACCCTAATTAATTTTCTAAAGATATTAATGGTGTAATTATTATACCACTTAGTTGTCTAATCTGTAAAAAGTATTTAGTGTGAGCTTTGATTTAGTGTATTGGTGTGGCACAAAGCGTTCCTCAACAGCAATGTTTTTCAACAGATGTTTAGACAGCTTTGACATCCTATGATCGATGTTTCATTATTGCCCAACCTGTTCATCTACTCATGAGTTACTCACTGACGACTTTCTCATGACGCTGGACAAGCTCTCTCAGCTGTGTGGCTGTCGTCTGCTCTGGCATGTCTGACTCAGAGTCTGTATCCCTGGCACGCAGAGCTCTCAACCCACCAAACAAAGGACGTCCGTTAGTGTCCTTCACCACCTCCTTGGTCCGCTCAGTCCTCACCTCCTCCACAACCTTGATCCCAGAGTCTAAGTCATCTGTAAAGAGATATTGTCTTATATGCTTTTAATTCTTCCACCAGAAAGTTTAATATAGATTTATAGTTTGTCTGCCAAAACTTGACAAAGAAACGCAAAATATTCATTTATTTCCAAAGAAACAACTTGATTTCCAAAAAGTTTAAAAGACTAAATGTCTAATATGTACGTAAATGTGAAAACAGGGATGTGCTTGTGCTAGTGAAAGCGAGTTAAGCGATTTGGACTGGAAGCAGTAAACAATGATTCTGGGTTGGATATATACCCAGACAGCACACTTTCTCCTCAGGACATCCCACGGATATTGCGACCGGATATGCAAGATATCCCATAGCCTAGTAGTCCCATAGTAGTCCTATGGCGTAATGTCTCGCCCGGGGATGTCCTACGGATAAGCTCACAGCATATCCGTGGGACATCCGAGTCATCCCAGGGTAGTCCTCAGGACATTCTCAGGACATATGGGACTACTATGGGATGTCCCTGGGATAAAGTGTGGTCTGGCCCTGAACATAAAAAACACAAAATAGTATAGATTTAGTATGAAAAGCTTAATTATCAGTTGAGTAAATTGATTAAATAGTTAATAAACACAAATTTTGAAGAAAAAAACGAGAAAAAAGTTTTTGGCCCAGACGGGTCTTGAACCTGGTACCTTCGCCTTATGAGCCTCATCTCATACCTTATACCTCCATAAGCATCTAGACTGTCAGTGCAACTCCTAGGATCGTGATCGTGGATCAGATCGAAAAAACCCCCCACCACCGCTCCGTGCCGATGGCATGACGTCAACCATTACTGCAACGATACGGAGCTAAGTCATGAGCCTTGGTGGTGAAGTGGATAGCGTGCTGGGCTGATAATCTGAAGGTGCCGGGTTCAAATCCCACTGGTAGCACTAACTTTTTGTCAACAATTTTTTTCATATCAGCAAGTTTGGTTGGTTTGGTTAGGTTATGACAGTTTAATTTTATAATTAAAACATTGTAAAATTGAATTTGAGACATTTATAATTTTATTTTTAGAACAGAGCTATTTTTTCGATTAGTAAACCTTCATTCGAGTTTATCATTATCAGCTAGTTTGGTTAGGTTATGATAGTTTAATTATATTTCATTTAAATTTAACCTACAAATTATACGTTTTGATAGCGACAGTGATACAGATAACAATTTTCCGCGAACAGTTGGATAAGCTATGCTGATGCGCCGGTATGATTCGGAAGCGTACGACATGGTGCGGTGGTGCCACAGCGCCTCTGATCCACGATCACGATCCTCGGAGTTGCACTGGCAGTCTAGACGCTAGTTATACCTCCTGTGCTATCTGCACTTGATGATTTTCAAGTGGTCAAAGAGTAGCGGACAGTTGCAATGGTCGCAATACTTAAAATATTTTTGATACTACAGTATATATAATATGATTATGTTAATCTGTTTAGGCCTCAAGTAGTTGAATTGTTTTTCTGGTAGTCGGAGAGGATACTGGTATTTGAATATAGATTATTTATTTACCATTAGATTAGCACTGTTAATTGATTGTTATATGAAATTAGTTTTAGATTATTTTATTAATTTAAAGTTAGGATTAAATACATGTTTCACACAACTATGATAGAACTCTAGTTTTCCTGAACTCAGTGGTAGTAATATGTCAGTAAAGTAAAGTCAGCCCTTACTAGCCACAGTATTAACAAGACATATTTTCAATTTGGGAACCTTAAACTTTTAAAACAAATTATAAAACCTCAATAATTTAATGCGTGGGAATCTTATTTAATAGAAAAAAAACAGACCAAAATTATTTGTAAAATAATGAAGACGGCCCAATTATAAACTCGGAATTACTGAAAATAATTACATCAAGAACAACACTGTAATATATCCAAAATAGAAAAAAATAATGTTTCTAATATTATTTTTTATTTTTCCAATATCCTTTAAATTATCTGTTTTAACTTTGTTTAAAATGAATTAATTAAGTAGGCATAAATATTTACTTTTTGTACTATATCGTAGAGAGTTGGTAATCCCAGACCTAAATGAGAAAGGTTCAACTTTAATTCAACCGGAGTTTAGAATGGTTCTTTCACAAAACCTTTAGAAAATGCTAATGACATTGGAGAAAACCAAAGAAGGGATTAAATATAAAGGAATAACTAAAGGTATTTCCTAGCTGGATTTTTTAAACAATTCAAACCAACAGTATTTAGTTAGATAAATTAACATTTACTTAAAATCAGAAGTATATCTATTGTAAATCAAAATTTGGTAACTGTTCTTATTCAACACTACTTCTCAGATTACTATATATAACAGTTTTGTCACATCTTAATAATTTGTTCACATTTATACTCTGAATGGTGAATAAGACTTTAAAAAATTAAAACCTTTTTTTAGGTCAAGTCAAACTGCCAAGCTTACAGTTATAAAGATGTAAATGTGATGGTACAATTAGTAATCAGAGGACAGGTTGTTACATACATTGCACTTGATCATCTACAGGCTATACAGGACATTCACCTTGGCTATTGCTGTTATAGCAAACCTGTTCTAATATGGTAGACCAACTTATAACGGAAGTGATACTTCTTTATGTTTAACACTTGAAGACATGTGATTTGAAACTAAAATGGAAATTACATGAGTTGATTGAAAGGTAGATTTAAGAGTGCATGTAAGCTACACAAATAAGTTTTTGTATTTGTTCTCCAATTAAACTAACAAAACCAAAATTAACTTTAAATACCCCGCCGCAGCAAACCTGCAGACTAAGCAAATTTTCATTTGCCTGATTTAATTTTCAATACACAGTTTATTACTGGTTGTACAGAGTTTACTTGTCTTGTACAGTTAGCTACTGATCGCATACAGTTTTTTCTTGGTTGCATACATTTTATAACTGGATGTAACATACAAATGGTTACCTGTGAGTTGTTTGTTAGTGTTGGTACGTCTCAGAGCTCTCAAGCCGAACAGTGGACGTCCGTTCTCATCTGTGGGTCCGACACCATAACTGGAGGTGATGCAGTCAACTCCAGACTCGACCAGTGTCTCCACACGTTTCTGGGATCTCACTGCAACAACAACCACAACCACAACTGAACGAGGGTGTTATATACGTACATAGTGCTGACCATTGCATATACAGGGGAATAAAAAGTCAAGACCCCCCCCCCTCTAATATTTTTCCAAGTAAATATACAGAGGTATCCTGTTGGTGGTCATGCAATCTTAGCAGGAAGTTTCATTTTATGATTTTGAAATTGTTGAGTGTCCCCCCAAAAGGGGGGATTTGGGGGGCAACTCAAATATTTTAAAGGTAAACCCCCTTCAAATGACACTTCACTTCGAAGTGTTTACAAAAACTTGAAGAATGGTGAAAACTAAAGGTCGCTATCTCTTCTCCATCCAAAATGGTAGCCAATATTACCATTACGAACCAATTTTACCATTGATTTTCCACAACATTTGACGGGCTACCATTTTGGATGGAGAAGAGATAGCGAACTCTGGTTTTCACCATTGTTTAAGTTTTTGTAAACACTTCAAAATGAGGTGTCACTTGATGGGAGTTTTATTGAACTATTTTTAGTTGCCCTCCAAATCCCCCCCTTTTGGGGACACTCAAAAATTTTAAATGTAAACCCCAATCAAGTGACACCTCGTTTTGAAGTGTTTATAAAAACTTAAAGAATGGTGAAAACCAGAGTTCGCTATCTTTTCTCTATCCAAAATAGTAGTCAATATTAACATTACGAACCAATTTAGCCTAAGTTGGACACTTACCCTTCATTCAAACTGCCTGTATCACCATTTTATTGAATTGTTACTCGGAGAATTACGGTTAGTTCTGTGTATAGTCAATGATAATACATAAAAAAGGTGTTCACAGTTTCCTCTAGCATAGAATGAAATCAAATTAGATTTTATAAACTGATTGAATGGTTATAATTTTCTTTAATAAAATAACTAAAAGAACAACTACAATATAAGAACACTCCCCAATATAAGAGGGGGTCCTCTTCCGGAAAACTTTGTATATTTTAAAAGTAGTTTAGTGACTTTCTATTTTTAACTCCTAAAACTGTCTCCAATCGTAAAAAAACTCCCATTAAACCTGTTGTTTGTCATAAGCAAATAGACATATACAAATTTAAACTATGACAATTGCATCCTCCTAAAAACCGTTTGGTACTTTCTTAAGCCCCTGTAGCCCCCCCCCCCCTTGGAACCACCACTGGGTCAGATCATGACTGAGGATAAAAGATTTAGGCACTTTCAAACACCAATTCCCATGCTTATTTCTAAAATGTTGATATAGTTATGTATGTATAATATTACAGGATGATAAATCTGTTTTGAGTAAAGTATTTTTTTTTTTTATTACCTCTTTAATAGGTCAGCTTTATTAATAGAATTATGATATGAAATATGAATAGTTACTGCAAAACATAATAAAACATAAAATACAATCCTCTGTCGTGGTTTCTATTTTATCATTTAACTTGCACTTTTTAAACCTAGTGTTAATTTTTACTAATAAATTTCGGGATTCCAGGGGGGTTTTGACCCCCTAACCCCCCCCCCCTGGCTACGGCCTTGGAACTATCAATAAAAATGTATGATGTGAAGTATGATGTGTGTATCAGTGAAGCCTGAATTTGAAAGATGTTGCAGCGAGATCAGTCCCTTCAAACCACCGTAGAGTCCCGCACTACACTTGTGTCTTGCGGTTGTTGTGTCGAGTGGTTTCAAGGCGCACAATGTACGGTACTTTACTTGAGGTTGAGGAGTAGAACACCCGTACGGGTCTTACAACTAGCTGCCATTCATTATTTTTCATTTAAACTATACAACAATTTGAGATGCATTTTTTATACATAATAGAGCGCTAGGTATCTGCCACGAATACCCGGGTTTAAATCTCACCAATTCAGCTTTGGCTTCCACGTACAAATACCATACCATATTACAGATGTTTACAAAGCCGACACAGTTGGAGATGTGATTATCCATGAATGTTGTATGAATGATGACATGACAGCTTTGTTACTGACTAAGATCAGCTGATTCTTTAGCCAGGAAATCAAAAGCCTAGTTTAGGACAGCTGGGCCCAGTTGCTTTCCTCAGGATCAAAGGATTCTCTCCACTTTGAAATAATTTTATTTTTTTATTTTATCGAACAGAGTAGTAGATTAAAACGTGAACTAGGCTATTTTATTTTGTTCTGTAACAGACTCAAACGTTAACACCATTAAACACAAAATTCGACCGTTGGATATATTTGTTTATCTGGATGCTCCTGGTTATCTAACAACAAACCCTAATTTTCATTTTCAGAAGGAGTTCAGTTTGGTCAACAAAGATTAGTGGGTGTGTCTCTTGTATAATTCAGTTGGTCTTGATTTTTATTCAAACCAAAACTGTTCAAATAATTGAACAAAATTTAAAAAGGAATGTTTTATTGTTGGGAAATCTTCGCAGATACGAGTAAGTTCAACTGAAGTAGCAGACATTAAAACTTCATTACAAGAAGACTGTATGAGCTAAAGCAAATTAAACCTTTGGTAAAATTAGAAGACCCAGATTCGTGAACGACTCGTTATAGGAAGACCAAGTGAAAAAGCAAAGGTCTACTATTGACCCAACAGCTCCGGAACATCTTACGTTTGTTTATGGCTTTGTTGTTTGTTTATTTCAGCCAAGCGTGCCAGACAAGCCGTTTCAACTGGTTCCGAAGAAAAACCTGTGTTTGTAAAACATTGGTTTAAAAACAATATTCAAATAGACAGGAGACGAAATCAACATCAGCACTAACCAGAACTTCAGAATATAACACCATGACAGTGATTTATTACAGGTCTTGGAAAGTGTAGTAATAACTTGTAGAGTCTAGCGCATTTGAAAAATGTTTGTTTCAGAGATCAAGAAAAGAAAGATAATGAAAGCGTTGCCGTGTGTTATTTGTTGTCACGAACAAAGAATAGTTAAATGATAAGAACATAGTGGTAGAGTAAAGTAACTTGAAATTGCCAATTGAGCCCAAGTACTTAGGCTATGAAGGCCTAAGTACCCAGATTGTGTAAAAGATCAACACATAGATGATAAAACAACAACCTGGCAACTCAGCTAGGAATGGCCCTGGCTATTGGGTAAGGAAGGGGGTTTCCCCAACTAACTAGTAAAGACTATTTTTATTCTTTGTTAAGAGCACATTGGGAATCAGCTGTGTTCAAAATATCAGTCTATACTGTACTGTACACAATCTTGTGGTTCTATGAGACATATTGCCTATTCCTATATTCTTCCTCTGAAGTTTCTTTAAAAGGCATACAGAGTGAGGCTCACTGGTTTATAGTGAGGTTTTACTGCACTAATTATTTCTCGATTTCTCTTCATTACTGTGAGGAGAAATGCCTGATAAGTCTACGTGCTGGAACTGGAGATTTTAAACAATACGTTTCAAAATATTTATCCAGTTCAATAGATCCCTGACGTTTTATTGTTGTTATAAAATGTATCCATTAAAATATAAAATATAATGTCACATAAGCGGATAGGCCCTACATTACTTTTAAAATAATCAATTTACAGATAAAAATAAGTGTATGTTGCAAAATATCAATGTGGTCACATACTTTGCTTTGGTTATCGTGTTTAGAGTTGTTTCCGCCAATGATTTGAACAACGTTCAAATATCACAGTAACAGTTAACAGATACAGTATCATCGAAGGTTTAATTATTGGTTCAAACTGGTTCATTATTGAAAGTTTACAGTTGCAATTAATGCTACTGCAACAATTATTCAACAAAGAAACACAAAACGTATCCATCTTTGATGCATCAAATATAAACTTCTAGGAATTCTCTTATCATTAATTCTAATATACACTTATTTTTAATCAACAAATCTTCATTCTTTAATTTTACTCAAAAACCAAAATATACTTACTTTTTTGAGTTCGGAAATGAAAATTGTAGTTATTGCAGTACATTCACAAAGTGAACACGGATAAGAACATTTTAAAGTCTAGTCTCTAGATCATAAGCAGCACTGTTCTACAAAGAAATAATGATAAGGAAACTACAATGTTTTTTTAAACGAACTTATTGCACTCAACCTCGTAATTTAAGAAACAAAATTAGCAACACCGAGTAAGATCGCGATATCAAAATGGCATCTCTGTTATCAGTGGCCACGTGACTTACGGGTCGGTTGGAACACATGTTGAGTAGCAACAGGTGTTGAACAAGTACTCAAACCAGCGTGGTGCGAGATGACAATGTTCCTATGCACTTCTAACACCATAAGCATCTGCATAACTCACTTGTAGGTAGGCATTTCGTGGACAAATGACACAACAGCGATGAAACAACACGTCATTTACCAGACCTACTTGTATATCAAATGCGGCCGCACTCTGGTACAGTTTAATGATCTACAGTACAGCTACATGGGAATAAAGAGTAAACTGTGCCGTAATAGTAATCAGCTACAGTATATGTACAGTACAATGTGCATGCTCGTCAATCCGTTGTTGCCGTTATATAGGTTAAATGTTATTTAATACAAGGTTCAACCACTTTTCTTCATAGAGGCTATTATTTTGACATATTTTGTGAAATGCATCTAAATCACAAGTAAACAATCACTCTTACAGGTACTATAATAGTTGAACCAATTTTAACTATAAAATCATTTTTATCTCAGTGCTGATTGTTACGAACTGCAGTTTAGTGTGATTTTAAACTAATGAGGATTTCTTGACTCAACCAGACACTCGATTCTTTAGAAGTTCATTGTTGGTGATGGTGAGTTAATGTTGTTCAAAAATTTATTGCGGACGTTTTCCATCACGATGATAAAAAAAACAATACACAACGTTTCGGAATCTGGAATTTGATCCCGTCCTCAGGTGAAACAATGTTTTTGACTTCCTCTCTGTAGTGTATTTCAATTTAGGTTGGGTGTCTTTTCAACCCTGGCTCGCTTTCCGGCTTTGCTTCGATCGTTAAAATTGAGCTCGGGTCGAAAAGAGTCACTTTTGGCCCTAGTGATGAAATATACTATT